AAAGGTGTCTGGAAATATTACTCACAATGCATAATTGTCCTTTTTAAGTTCATTTCTGTACAATCCACGCATCGTCAATTTCTTCTTGTGGTACTTTGGAATCCCTCACTGAGGTGTTCTTCAGAGTCTCATCAAGTCGCATGCGAATGCTCCGATATGTCGAAAGCAAGCTTTCTGTCTACTGAAACTGTTAACAGCTGCATTAGGTTGAGTAGACAGGGAGACTGCGTTCGTCTTCACATTTCACAACTTCTTTGGTGCAACACTGAAGAGCCAGACTGCAACAGAAATGTGATGCAAATTAGCAGAGTGGAACAGAATTCAACGCTTATGGAGCACAACAGACCATCAATCCAAGCCGACAAAACTAAGCATCTATCGAAATCGTGTAGATACCCTTAGAGTTTAATACCACCTGCACAACATCCATTCACATTTCTACTACCTGTGCGTTGTCAGATTCCCTACTGTCGTTGGCGTCGACGTCACCGTCCACACCTTCCATTTATGCAATCTGAATATGACGCGGCAATTTGCTATTGTCTAGTGTTTATTATCATTCATGTTTGTGCGCACCACCTTCTGTATTCCTATCCCCCTCTTCAACAGTGTTAGTCCATGCAACATTGAGAGCACTGTTTCTCTTACCCAAACTTAAGGTCGCCCTCATCAAATTTAAGTAGGCGCGTGTGAAAGTGCCATCCTCCTTGGACTGAGTTTTAGTTTGTGTTAGGTTTATCGTGAAGAGGCGATACCTCGTACGCGTTCTGTCGGAGTGCTGGTGGCAGGGTGGACAGATACAAATAATGATGACATCACTCATATTAATGATAATAAAAAATAGATATTGTACAAATTGTGAAAGATAGAAATGGGGATACACAATCCCAACGATTATTTTTATCCACAATACACTATCGCACCGCTACGTGTTGATGCAGTTGCCTTGTAGATTATTGTTTTCAAGGGGTTTGAGCAGCAATTTCGTTAATCCGGATACCCAACCACGCCAAATTGAACACACCTTTTGATCACACAATGCTAATTCGGTCTATTCTGACATGGAGGGTTACAAGACAAACGATAAGGAGTGTGCGTCTGGCCGTCATTTCGCCAAGCACAGCTCAAATTTTTGCAAACCGTCTGCGTCGAGACACGCCCAATACAAAGCACCTATTAAAAACTCCTACGCGGTGCAGACATCACTCGTCCACACAGTCAAAATCGATTTGTCTAGACACTCTGCTATGGATGAGCTGCTACAATGACGATTTTTTCTTGATTAGTGGAATTCAATTTATCTGGCCACAAAACATGTATGCTGTAGGAAGACATTTACTGGATTCCCAAGTTGCTCCGAACGTCCACTCTGCACGACAAACGATAACGATCGTGCATCTGGTCGTCATTTCGCCAAGCACAGCTACGATGATCAGCGTTGTGCATAGACGGACTTAGCATCGTGTTATTTGAGGCTCAAATGATAGCAAACTGATCTAATGCATACTTTAAATCGCTTTCACATGCATCAGTGCAGAACCTGATTCCGAAATTCGTTGGCGTTTGCAATGGAGGAGGACTCGGCTGAGGAGGGAAGGCACTTCGCTGGGTGAAGGGTTGTAAGACGATTTTGCGCAGGAGACGCCGGTGCCCCAGAGAAGGAACAACGATGCCTGGACCACCCTGCAAGTCGAAGACAACTAAATAAACAGAACGCCTTGTCGCAGTCGTGTGGGTGTGTTTCGTGGAGATTCTTGCTATGCAAATACCCTTGGCTGTATTCCATTTAATATATCATGCTTCATCATTCTAGTTTGACATTACCATGGCGAGTGCACTCGTTCACACAGCCACAATCGATTGTGACGCCCCGACTCTGTCTAGAAACACTCTAGTATGTCTGAGCTGCTGCGATGACGATTTTTTCGTTATTCCATGCAGAATCCGTCACAGATTCACCACGATTCACGCAAACACTATTGATTGTGTCTCTGCTCATAACTAACCTTGACTGTTTCTATAACCAAGCATCTCATCATTTACACCGTTCAAATTCACGAGTTAACTAATTCCAACTGGGTGACGACCACATTAGACCTCATCCATTTCGCGTAGATGTCCGTTGTAAGAGGTCACGAGTATTCGAAAAAAGGAACACTTCTAATCTAATAAACGTGAAGCGTGATGTAATAAAACAAACCTCGATCTTGCAAATCTCATGGCCCGCTACAAGATTACTCCTTGATTAGATGTCATCTGGTAAATGCCACTTGCGCATCACTCGTTTGCCATTGTCAAAGTAGACAAACATCAAGGTTTGTGACAGACTTCAAAAACAAATTGTGGACTATTAGAACATGTTAGTGAAAGCGCCTCAATAATGAATCATCTAGCTAATGTATCAATAAGTCAAAATACAAAGCAACTACTCATCGTTCGAGACAGGGGCTGGATTGTAATATTGACATTGCATGCAGAAAGTCGTCTTCATAAAACAAGTATTTACAACTCACGAACGGAGATGAAAATTGCAAACCAACGCTGAATAATCAGTTCTGAAATGCGACAACGTTTTCTTGTTTCCGTCAGCACTGGCAACAGTGTCATTGGGGTCATGGATGGTCGGAGGACTGGAGATAAGCACTGTGGATTTGACAATCATTACGGAGAACACACTAGCGAAGACCTGCGTCCCCCGCAGCACGATTTCAGTATCCTCTCATTTGAGGCACAGGGCATTGGCATTGGGTGTAGGAAAGAGGTCACGCTTCTTTTGGCGACCTAACTGCAGGCAACACGTGGAGTGGAATGTGGCACGGGTCTAGACAGGCGGTAGAAAGGAGCCAGCACCCGAGTGCCGTCGAAATTGTCTGCCGCGTTCTCTGCTGCCAACGCGAAAGTCATCGGTGCTAGCGGAGACACAAACGTCTACACCTTGATGAACCTTCCACCTTCAAATCAAATTTGTTCATGCGAAGAATGCTATGCATCTCTTATCAGTTAAATAAATTTAATTTCAGTTGACTGAAAACCGAATGTCTTCTTCTCGCCTGTTAAACATGCTTGGGCTACTCTTTAATTTGGAATAACCAAAATTGTTGAATTAAAGGCAGTTTTGGTGGCTCGAATGAAGAAAACCACCGTTTACTAACCAGAGATAACAATTGTCATTTGAGGAAACGGGAATTACCAACACCGACGTTTAATTACCCACCCTAACCACGAGGATGTACTAGAAGGTTGTACAATTACCTCGAGCTACTGTCGTAAGAACCACCCACCTCGCATGTACCACTATGCAGAGAAGACGATGTCTATAACCGAACTTCGTTTGTAAATGTTTTACGCGACTAACCAGATAATGATAGGGCGTAAAAAGGAAAAACAAAGTGCGAATTCAAGCAACATAAAGCCTCAATGCAACACTTAAATAATTAACATTGTCAAGCGAAAAGCTGTCGAACCAATGACGGTTTCCGTGATTGTCAAGAATTTGACAAGTCAAAGAGAGAACTGACCACCATATGTGCCTTTTAAATGCACTTGTTTTCAATGGGAATATAGTATTTCGAAGTCAGTACAATTAAGAAGGTTTGATACCCATATTTATAGCCGCCAGTCTACCCATCCACTAAGCACGTATCTCCCTCTCTACGAAGAATTGCCGACCGACGTCTGCACCATCACCATCGCAAACACCAGCACCAAAGCCTGTCAAATGCCAGTAGCCTGACCTCGCACCTCCTGTTGCCACATTCAAGGTACATCCATCAAGCTTGTCGTCAACAATTCCCTACAATTAAATGTCGTCACAGAACCATGATTAGCAATGTAAAATCGCGGTTTAACTCGACAGGTTATTCCACTCCACCATCATCGATTATGTCGGTGTGGACGAGTGTACTCAGGTGCGACAGCCTGCTCGCCAGACGTCTGATTTGGACGCAGTCACATCGAGTGGTTATTGGTGCATCCACACATGCACTTTGAAATGCAAAATAGGAGTTGGTCGTGTCTCATATAAGTAGGTGACTTGCGAAGGCCACACATTGCAGGGCTTCTCCCACCTACGGAATGCAATTCCACACAGTTCATCTACATGGGAATGCCATTGTCTCTACTCACAATTCAAACGTTGCGAGACGCAAGACGCAATTTCAACATGGCTGAATTTCCGTATCACCTGGCATGGCATCATTACACTTCCGTATTTACATGTTCTGTGCATTGTGCCAATCACACGACACCATTCGGATTATGCGAAAATCATTTCAGGCGACATTAATGATCCTCTGCATTAAATTTTTAGTGAACTCACCTCACTGATCCCTATTCCCTTCGTGGCACAGTCCTTCCTCCTTATAACACCTCAAACTTCAACGCGGAATCACGCTTGAAATACTCATAGAGACCCATCAGATGCCGGAAGCAGCCTGTCTACGTAGTCCGCCGGGTGGGTCTCCAAAAAAGCAGCAGGCAGGAGAGTTAACTGGGTAGGCAAGTCGTTGCAGCTGTTTTATTCGCGAGATGGTGGTCAGATCGACGGCCGTTGTCGTTAGCCTTCTGACCATCTGCAATAGAAACGTCATATGTAAAGCCAAATCAAATTTTAAAAAGATGTCAGCTAAATGGAAGACGAATTTATGGACAGCTTACATGAGGATTTAATCGAGACTTACACCTTGTTAGACAAATGTCAGATGGCTCGTTAGAACACAAACGCTCGCACTTTCAACACCGCACTCACTTAACACTAAGCGTATGAAGCAGTGGGAACAAGATTATACCCCTACCAGCAAACATTTTTCTTTCCGCGGCTCCCCTCCTTCGCATTTCACTGCCGCAGGAAGGTCAAAAGTTTGTTCAGAGTTAAACTCTACAGATATTCTCGATAATGTCGTGAACATCAAGCAACATGGCCAACCATAACAGAATGGTAGTGATTGGCGATTCTACTAAGAAGGTCATTTCTGATTACATAAACAAAACAAATTTATTACCATGATTGTCGTCTCTGCTAAACATGTGAAAAGTT